CTATGCCCTTTAGATCCCCTGGGGGCCTACTATCATGTCCTCAGGGGCCCATCATAAAGCAATAGAAAGCCCCAGCAGGACAATTACTAATGTGCAGGGCCCAGTGCTAAATGAAAACGTGGGGCCCTTTGTTCCGATTTCAAAACAAACCAAGTGTGGGTCCCTTTGGAACAACTGCTTGGACAGCGTGGAGCACTCACCCATGAAGCCATTGGTCCCTGGGGACTGCCCCTGGCAGCTCCAAGCTTTCTCCCTGAATCACCACCCTTAACATCCGCCCCTCCTCTCTGCACCTGCACTGTAGTGCCCCCTACTGACCCCAGGAAGCAATCACACCTGAGTTCAAAACCAAATCCTGCCTCTTCCAGGTGGGCTTCTCTGAGCCTCGGTTTCTTTATCTGTGAAATGGGATAATAATCGTACCTACTTCGGTAGAGAGGCTTTGATGACTCAAAGGTTTGGCACAAGGCACATAGTAGAGCACAGTAAAAACCTGTTCCCCATACTGCCCCCCCACCTCGGGATGCTGTTAAGATCCCCAGAGGTGCACTTGATGGTAGGCTCGCAGACACCAGGCCCTGGATCTGTCTTGCTCACTCTTGCATCCCCAGGGGCTAGCACAGGAAACATTAGCAGAATGAATGAAGCCAATAATGAATGACCCTGGGCTGGTTTAATATGTCCCTAAAACTTTTCTAGAATGGCCCTGGTATCCTGTTAGAATGTTCTAGCAGAATCTATATTCACCCCTGAAACAATCCGTGGGTCTGGGAGCTGGGACTTCCTATAATGTGAGACCCCAGGGTTTTCCCTTGATGGGCTCAGGGCAGTGTTAGAATATAGCAGCAGGGCTGCTCAAACATACGAACCTGCTCCGATCCCCTTTCCCTAGACTCCACTCACAGACCTCAGGGCCAGGTAAATGAATCCTGGTGCCCGCTCCACACATAATACCCACGCGCCAGCTCTCATACAACCTGCGTATCGCAACCACCAACAGAACCTGCTACAAGACCCTGAGGTCCCACTATAATCCATTATTACTACGTCCTGCTGTAATACCGCAGGGGGCTGCAATGACGCTCGCCAGTATGACTACAGTAGAGCATCCCTGTGGTCTGGTGTGACAGATGTGAAGCCATGATACATTATGATATAACCAATATCTGCCCTGTTTTCATGTAACAGGCCTGACACCCGCTGTCATCATAAGCCAGGACGCTGCTATGAAATTGCGCTTGGAGCTAATTTCCCTGCAAAATGGCCACTGGGGCCGCCTATAAGAGGCATGCGATAGAATATTCCAGAAGCATGCTAAAATAGTCTCAAGATCCCATGACAAACCACTAGGATTTGCTATAGTAGACCCAGGGTTCCACAACCATTTAATACCTCTGGGGCTACCTGCCAAAGACTCTTGTCCTTGGGCCTGTCCAAGGGGGGCCCTGCTACACCAAGACATCACTGGGCTTTGTTCTAACGATGGGCTCAGGGATGCGACATAATCGCTTCCCTAAAAAGTATCACTTACTGGAATTAGTTCTACTGCAAACAGCACAGGTGAGCATATTTCATCCTCCCAGTGGGGCAGGGAGGCAAGATTTTACAGATTAGGAAACTGAAGCTCTGTGGTTCTCGGGGGAGTCAAGCCCAAGGTCCCAAGGTCATGCAGCTAATGACTGCAGGGCTAGAATCTGGAACAGAGCCTGCAGGCTTAATGCTTACATTTGGAGGTTTCTCAGCATGTTCATTGCTTCCGGTTACTCCATGCCTTGAGACCTAGTGTAAACAGATAGGTTAGGGGGTCCCTGGAAAAAAAGAACCAGGAATGGCTTTCTTGACATAAGAGAAGCCATTTTGGCTTAAGCCGTTTTTGTGATCTAAGCCTGGCTGCAATGCTTGCCCTTGAACAGGTCTCAGTAATCCTTGATCTTAAGGGAAGTTAGGGAACAAAGGCAAAAGGAAAAGCAGTCAAGAAACAATAGTTCAACAATAAAACAGAGTCCTAATTCCTCAAGGGATGTACAGAACAGTCTGATACAGTTTTTGAGCTCTTCAGGAACTAAGGCCCCCAGCCAGGTGAAGGACAGAAAAATGTTCACCCTCCTGACTTCAGTCAACTAAAGCTTGGACTCTGGCGACCTTTGCCCCAATTCTGTGCTGAGTTCTCTGCTCCAGCCCCCTCATGAATATGCATGTCCCCTTAGCTTAAAACTTCCCCAATTTTGCTGTTGGAGAGGCACTGTTTTGGGAAAGATCCCCGGTGTTCTCCTTACTTGCTGCAGGTAATAAATCCTTCATTCTCCTATGTTTCGCTCTGTTGTGCCTTTTGGCTCGGCACCCACCAAGAGGTGAACCCAGTTTTCAGGTAACACTAGGAGTCAAACCTGGCCTGTGAGAATGTGAAGGTTTAACTTTAAATGGACTCACTCCGGGAATTCCCTGGCGGTCCAGTGGCTAGGACTCCGCGCTCTCCCTGTCAAGGGCCTGGGTTCGATCCCTGGTCAGGGAATGGTGCAGCCAAAAATAAACAAATAAATAAATAAATTCACTCAACTAAACATGTTTGGAGCACCTACAATTTGTTCCAGGCCCTGGGGCTGCAGAGATTCCGTGTTGTATCCCAGGGGTCAACAGGTAAACAAATAAACATGCAATATCATGCAGGGTTTGTACAGCAAATATGCCATAAACGGGTTTTCCTGTCTATGTAAGACATTCAAGCAGGGAAGGGAGATTGGGAGGGTTGGAGGTTCTCCAAGTGGAAAGAGTTCGGTGAGAATTAGAGATTAAGGGATGAGGGAGGGAGCCAGGTGGAAGCCTGGGGTTAGAGGTTCCTCGGGGCAGAGGGCACAGCCAGTGCAAAGGCTCAGAGGAGGGCGCAAGTCCGGGGTGCAGGCAGAGTGAGGATGGGGGCAGGCAGGTAGGCAGAGGGGAAGCTCTGAGGCTGTGACCTGGGTGGGCCTAGGAGTCGAATCTCTAGCTGTCACAGTTCTCTAAGAAACGCAGGTAAAGTCCTCTCCCACTCATCAGGCCAGAGAACTGGTACAGCCTGGGGAGCCTTCTTGGAGTTTGTGAGTAGACCCACCAGGAAGCCTGTCGGGTGTCCCCACCAGGTACACGGGCTGCACCCGACACTAGGTAGCCTGATGATGGGGTGCCGAGGAGACGCCCAGGAACCCGCTGCGCGGGGAGGAAGCAGGGGAGCTGGGCTGTTGTTTTTGTAAACACAGCGGCCCCAACCCAAACGGAAACACCTGTGGGTGTGGGCTCCTGGAGTGGCCTCAGATCCCCTGCTGGGTCTCTGTTCTCTCTCCGCAGCTCTGTTCCCCCTGTTCCCCCGCCCCTGGGTCCCAGTCCCCCTCCTCAGGGTCTCTATCCCTCCAGCACTGGGTGGGGCAGGCGTGCAGGCTGAACCTCAGGGCGGTGCCCCCCTCTGACCCGTCCCTGCCCCTTCCTGCCCTTTTTGACGCGCCCCGCTTCCTCTGGCAGGAACCCCCGCCCTCGCCGGGCCTGGGTAAAAAGGAGCCCACGGGCCGGTCCAGTGCAGAGGCCAAGTCCTGGGAGGCAGCAGCGGCGGCTCCTCTCTCCTCACGGCCCTGTCTCCCAACCCTTGTACCAGTGTGTGCCTCAGTCCCTGGTACAGGCATGGGGGTCAGGGACCTGGGGACCCTGGCAGCACCAGGCCGCCAGGGGTGAAGGCAGCGGGGCGACTCCGGCACCTCCCTTCTGCCTGTGCCTCCATCTCTGCCGGCTGTGGCTCTGGTGAGGGTCTCTGCTTCAGATCCCCAAGTCCCTGGGTCCCTCTCTGTGGTGTTTCTCATTCTGTCCGCACCTGCCACCCACCCCACGCATGCCTCTTTGTCATGTTCTCCAGGCCCATCTCTGCCTCTGGAATCTGAGTCTGTCCCTGGGCTGTGGTTTCCGTCCCTGTTCGGTGTTCAGCTGAGGGCTCTGTCCCATATCTCTCTCCTGACCTCTGTATCTGACACTCAAGTTCCCTCTTCCTTTCCCCATTTTTCTCTGCTTCTAACAGAAAGCCTTCCTGCCATTACCAACTGTTAAGCTCTCTTCATCTCCCAGGTTTTTTCCCTGACAGTCAAGGTCACCATGTCCGGTCCTGTCAGAAATCTCTTCCCCTTCATTTGCCTGGCTCTGTCCCCTTTCTCCCCATCTCCAATTTCTCTCCTCACCCAAGGCCACCCCACTTGGTTTGTCCCAGATCAGTCCCACCTCCACGGACTTCCTATCCATTTCTGAGCAGCCTGCAGCCCCGCACTGCTGGCTGGCCTTAGCGACTTATCTTAAAGGCTAATTTCCTTACTTGCATTCTTAGGCAAAGAAAGTGTCCACAATCTGACACGTGGAGCTCAGCTACTCCTTGGGGGACCCCAGGCAGAGAACTTGCCCCCTCAGATGAGTTTGCTTATCTGCAAATGGGCATGGTGTCCACTTAGGAGGGGACGGTGGAGCATGGAGCATGTGGGGGGGAGGGCGGGTGCCTTGCTTCCCTGCCCCACTCCTTCCATCAGGGTACAGTCCCAGGTTGAAGTCAAGACCCTCATAGTTCCGAACCGCGCAGCTGTGTACTCCTCAAGCGCGCCCAGCACATGCCGACCCCCAGCAAAGCCCAGAGGGCCACTACCTCTTCCTTACCGTGCCCTCAGAAGCCAGAAAGGGCCCAGAGTCTAGAGAACCCAGGAACCTCCACCCTCACTCACTTCCTCCCCAGAGACTTGCAGGGGAAGCTCAACACCAAGTAGAAGGCATTAGGTACTCCGACATCAAAAGCTGAAAAGGACCAAAAGGCCAGAGAGGGGAAGCATCTTGCTACAGGCTGTCTTCACCCAGAGACGAGAGGGCAGGAAGCAGGATTTGGTTCCCATCCTTACGCACCCACAGGATGAAAAACAGCCCCATCTTTCACATCAACCCCACTTAATTCCCAGGGACACCCCCTCCCTCTGATAAGGGCGTGGACATGGAGCCTGGCCCGTGGCTGGGAAGGTAACTTTTATTTTGTCTGGGGCGGTGAGCAGGGGTCTGGGCTCAGAACTTCTGGAACTGCTTCTTGGTGCCGGCAGCCTTGGTGACCTTGAGCACGTTGAAGCGCACCGTCTTGCTCAGGGGCCGGCACTCGCCCACTGTGACAATGTCACCAATCTGGACGTCCCTGTGGGGGTGAGGAGCGCCATGTCAGAGGGACTCTTCCCCAAGCAGGCCCTAAAGGTGCCTTTCTGACTGTCTCCAGGCGGAGGCCTGTCACCTTTGGCTCCTCCAAATCCCAACCAAGCTGCTATTTCCAGTTCCATCTGCACTGCACGCCGCCCTGTCGTTATTTATTGAGCAATAACTATGAAAGGCGCCAAGCTCAATGCCCTGCAGAGAATGCTCCAACCCTTCCAGGACAGAAGACCTCCAACTAGCACCTCCATTTTTCAGAGAACAGGAGGCTCCCAAAGATGGTGATACAGGGTCCCCTCACTAACCGCCCCCGCCCCCAACAGCTGACTACCTTCACACGGCAGCCAGGGCGTCCTGTTAACGGCCAAGGCACATCCCAAGTCACCCAGATTCTTGTGCAGCCCACCCCCTCCTCTCCGCCTGGGAGGGCAGCTCAGCGGGGCTACCTGGGGCCACCGTGCTCACCTGAAGCAGGGGGAGAGGTGCACAGACATGTTCTTATGGCGCTTCTCGAAGCGGTTGTACTTTCGGATGTAGTGCAGGTAGTCTCGGCGGATGACGATGGTCCTCTGCATCTTCATTTTGGTCACCACACCTGGGGGGAAGGGGCAGATCCCGGATCAGGCCCCATAGGGAAGGGAGCCATGGGCAGCCCAGGGCATGCTGGGAATCGGGGGCCGCTGAGCAGAGCTCCCAAGAAGCCCTGCTCCTGGCATCAGCTGTGCCAACTGCTTTCTCAGCAGTGCCCGGGGTGGGCATCTGAAGACCATCGTGAAAATAACAGACATCATCTGCCAGTGCCCCCCATAACCAGGAGTCTGCCAACCCCTTCCTCAACCAGAACCCCGAAGTCTCAGTGTCCCCAGCCCCTCCTCCCTCAGACCCGGGAATTTGAACCCAAGCCCCCAGAGGTCCTCACTTACCAGACAGGATTCGCCCTCGGATGGAGACATTACCAGTAAAAGGGCATTTCTTGTCAATGTAGGTGCCCTCGATGGCCTGAAGAGATAAGGAGGATTAGCGAGCCCTGAATGGTAGTTCCTGAAAAGAACAGGGCTGTGGCCTCCCTGTAGACACAAAAACTACGATTCCCAGCAGCCCCAGCAACAGCCACTCAGAAGCGGATACGGCAACTCAGTTTGGGCACACGTGCAGGGAAACAGGGATCTCCTTCTTTCTTCTGAGGCTCCCCATACCTCCTTCGGTGTCTTGAAGCCCAAACCAATGTTCTTGTAGTATCGCGGGAGCTTCTCCTTGCCAGTTTCTCCAAGCAGGACCCTCTTCTTATTTTGAAAGATGGTCGGCTGCTTTTGGTACGCACGCTCAGTCTACAGGGATGAGGTGAAAGCTGATAAGCTTGTAGCAGGCAGCAACCTGGTCTGGAAAGCTTCACAAAGCTTTCCAGATCTCATCCTCTGCAGTATTTAACTCCCCAAACGCTGCACTCACCCAAATTTACCCCTAACCCAGACTCAACTCTAAACCCGGGGTTACGTCGGTATTTACGGTCTAAAGCACCTTCCACCGCCTGCAGAATTCACCCCTTCAAACCCAAAGATACAGAATCATCCCTCTAACACTCTGGACACCCTTCAGCAAGAACTATTCTCCAAGACACAAAGATACCCACCCAGGAGTCACTCCTTATTAATTACATGTGGCTCCAAAATTAAATACCAAAACGATGGGCTCCCTGGAGTAGCCCTTAGGACTCAGTTCTCACAGGATTAACCCTACAGCCTAAGGCCTCCAGAAAAACACTCTGTAAACCCTGGGTTTTAAAAAAGATAACTCCTAAAAAGCTTGAGTCTTAATTACAACCTAAATGCGGAGCTCCTAAGATTTAGGAGGTGCCAATCGAGATTAACGCCAAGACACGCGCCCTCTGCCCGAATTTCCCTGGGAAATCGAGGACGCCCAGAATTAACCCCCAAAGTGGGGTGCGGGCTCCCGCTCTCCAGGACGCGCCCCTGAAGCCCGGGCCCCGCTAGGTCTGCGTCAGCCCCAAGCCCGAACCTGAATGTCCGCCATCTTCCCGGCCGCCTGAAAAAAGGAGAGCCGCGGCGTCGTCCTGGTTTCCTTATCGATTGCACAGAAGCTAGAGAGGAAGTGACGAAAGAAGGACAGGGTAACACGGTTTGAGGAGGAGCCTTGGCGAGACTCTGATTGACGGACTGCCCTACCCAAGCACGCGATTCGGAGACCGCACGGACGCTGTCATGACGTTCATGGCAGAGGGGCGGGAAGCGACAGACACTGTGCCGCGAGACTCTTTGGCCATCACTGCGCGCCAGCGCGCTAGCTCACGTTGGGAAAGTGTGGCCAGCCTTGTTATCGCGAGAGTTGTCGGGAGGCCGTCTTGTTTCTGCGGGGAGTGGGGCCACGTGGGGTTTGAGGACAGTGTGGCTGTGTCCGCTCAGGGTTTAAACGGGTTGTGGCGGCGGCCATCTTTTTGCAGGACCGGAGACCGGAAAGTCTTAGGAGCATGCATGCTCTGCGGCGCCGCCATCTTTGTGAGGAGCGGGCACTACCCACGAGTTTTGTGCAGTTTAATGAACGTTGCTTTCCTCTATGGGCCATTTTATCCCCAGACAATGGTTTCGTGGAAAAATTAAATTAAATTAAATTTAAAAAAACTAAAAAGGCCTTCTGCTGATTGTAACAGCGCTGTCCAACAGTAGTTTCCGCTGTGATGAAATGTTCTGTATCTGCGCTGTCCAACACAGTAGCCACAGGCACTGGAAGTGGGGTGCGTGCGACTGAGGACCTGAATTTTTAACTTTTTTTTTTTTTAGGTAAGAAGTGGATTTATTTAGAGAGAAACATACTCCACAGACAGAGTGTGGGCCATCCCAGAAGGTGAGAAAGGCCCTAACTTTAATTTTTATTCGATTTAAATATAAATAGCCACATGGGGCTAGTATCTACTGCGTTGGTCAATGCACGTCTATAACTGAATACTAATTTATTGTTTTTTAAATTCTTGTAAAGCAAAATCTAACAGAGCAATTGCCATGTGCCTGGCATTGTGCTAACAACCTAAGGATGGTTCGGTTACTATTCCCATTTTGCAGATGGGGAAACTGAGGCATTAGTTGCTCCAGGTTTCGCAGAAAATGAGAGGCAGAGGTGGGAATTGAACCTGGGCAGTCTGGCTCCAGCGTTCTTAATCACTAACCTTTAAAGAAGGAAGCTTTGAGTCCTTTTTACAGTCACTTCACACTTAATGAGCACCTATTTGGTACCCGGCCCCCTTCTGCGCAGTGGTGGCAAGAACCCGGTGTCTCAAACCAACCCTGACAGCTGTCCACACTGACTTGCACCTTGTTGGGAGATTTCAAACTCCAGACCTTGGCACGGATAGGTGTCTTATGCCTCTTTCCTTAGTTAAGTCGTGGTCTAGAATTTCCCAGCACTCTTAACTCCACAGAGTGTGGTTCTCTCTAAATAAATCCACTTCTTACCTATCACAATAAATAAATAAATAATAAAACCCATGGGGAATATACAGAATATTCAGTGATTTCGTGTTAGGACAAGTGTGCAACCATCTGAAAAAAAAATAAAGTTGGATCTCTACCACCTACTGTATGCCAAAGTAAATTTCTGATGTGTAAAGATAAACTTTAGGTGGGTTTGGGGAATGAAACCATAAATGTACTAGAAGAAAACATGAGTTTTGTTTTTTTCACTTATGAGTCTAGTAAAGACTTTTTTTTTTTTTTTTGCCACACCATACAGCTCGTGTCATCTTAGTTCCCATGGCAGTGGAAGCGCAGAGTCCTAACCACTGTACAACCAGGAAATTCCCTAGTAAAGATTTTTTTTTTTTTTTTT